CCCGGGGCTTGATCCCAGGTCTCTGGGATCATGACCCCAGCCAAAGGCAAATGCTTAATGGCTGAGCCACCCAGGCGCCCCAAGAATATTGATTTTTTTTTTTTAAGCAATAAAAAAATGTTGCCATTTCTGCTTTCTGGAAACGTAATAACAAAACTTCATATGCATGGTATGTCCTGAACAGAATAAGATACCACACAATTCTGTAAATAATGAGAGTTTTCAGTGTGTTTGCTTATATTATGCTCTGAATAGATGCAAGGAGGAGTGGGCATGGTCCTTGGCCTCAAGGTCATGACCATCTAGTCATGGAAAGTGACATGGATACAAAAATAATTGAAGCTCTCTAAAAGAGCTAAAAGAGGGAGAAGTAATGTCCTGTAGGGGAATCAGAATAGGCTTTAAAAACTCGGGGGAAACTTGGGGTAGACCTTAAGAACAGTAGAATTTCATTGAGGTTGGGAGGAAAGGAAGGATATGACATATTAAGGGACAAGAGGGATAAGAAGGACCCTGTGAGTGTTTAGTGTGGTTAGGGTACTTAGTCTAGAAGTTATCTAAATAAGACTAGAAAATTTTGGTTAGATTGTATAAGACCTTGGATGACTATTGTGTGTCATTGTAAGGACTAGGTAGGTGGTTGGTGCAATAGGGAGGTACTGATGCATTTTGAAATCATCTCAGACTTACAGAAAAGTTGCAAGTACAATACAAACAGCTTCTCTTTTTCTGGAATTATTTGAGAATAAGATTCTAACTTCAAGACCTATTACCCTGGAATTTCTTGAATATATATTTCCTACAAAAAAGGCATTTTTTAAAAAAGATTTTATTTATTTATTTGACAGATCACAAGTAGTCAGAGAGGCAGGCAGCGAGAGGGGGTGGGGAAGAAGGCTCCCTACTAAGCAGAAAGCCCCATGCGGGGCTTGATCCCAGGACCCTGGGATCATGACCTGAGCCGAAGGCAGAGGCTTTAGCCCACTGAGCCATCCAGGTGCCCTCCAAAAAGGTATTCTTTATGTAACTAAAATTCAGTAACCAAAATCAGGAAATTAATATTGATACTTTACTGCCATCTAATCCTTGGATCCAGTTCACATTCTGACAGTTGTGCAGATAATATCCTGTATAGCAAAAGGACCCAGTTCAGAGTCATGCATTGCATTTAGTTATGATGAACCTGTAGTCTCCTGACCAAAAGAGTTTCTCAGCCTTTCCCTGGCTTTCATGAACTTAACACTTTTGAAGAGAACAAGGCGGTTTGTTTAATGTTTCCTCCTGCTGAGATTCAGATTATGTATCTTTGGCAAGAATATCATAGAAGTCATGCTGTGTTCTAAGTGCACTCTATCAGATGGCAGATGATTTTGACATATTTCATTATTTACTTTGATTATTTTATTATGTTGCCGTCTGCCTGGCTTCTTCAATATAAAGCTACTTCCCCCCTTTGAAATTTTCTTTTCTTTTCTTTTCTTTTCTTTTTTTTTTTTTTTTAAGATTTTATTTATTTGAGGGGCGCCTGGGTGGCTCAGTGGGTGGCTCAGTGGGTTAAGCCTCTGCCTTCAGCTCAGGTCACGATCTCAGGGTCCTGAGATGGAGCCCTGCATGGGCTCTCTGCTCAGCAGGGAGCCTGCCCCCCCCCCCCCGTCTCTGCCTGCCTCTCTGCCTACTTGTGCTCTTTATCCGTCAAGTAAATAAACAAAATCTTAAAAAAAAAAAATAGATTTTATTTATTTGACAGAGAGAGGACACAAGCAGGAGGAGTGGCAGGCAGAGAGAGAGGGAGGGAGAGAGCCGGATGTGGGGCCCTATCCCAGGACTCTGGGATCATGACCTGAGCTGAAGGCAGCCGCTTAACCCACTGAGCCAAACAGACACCCCCCCTGCCTCCCTTTGAAATTAATAAGTATCTTATGGGGAAGTATTTTGAAACTAACTAGATGGACATTTTCTCACTAAAATTTCGGTTTGTGTATGTGTGTATGCATGTCAGTATGGACTCGTAGTTTTTCTTTTACTCAGTGGATTTAATCATTGCTGTCATTATTTTTTTATGCTTATTTTATTCTTCGACTTGGCTAGTGAGAACTTCTTCAGGCTGGATTCTGTGTTTTTTTTTTTTGTTTGTTTTTTTGTTTTTTTTTTTAAATGCCCTCATCATTCTTTGAACACTTTCTTGCTTTCTGGCACCTTAAGGTGCTTATTTTGTATTTTTCCTGTTCCAGTCCTGTAATCAAACATTTCTCTGAAAACCCTTGGTGCCTTGTAAGGGAAAATGGTATTAGAAACCAAATTCTTGGGTGTCTGGGTGGCTCAGTCATTAAGCGGCTGCCTTCGGCTCAGGTCATGATCTCAGGGTCCTGGGATCGAGGCCCGCATCGGGCTCCCAGCTAAGCTGGAAGCCTGCTTCTCCCTCTCTGGCTCTCCCTGCTTCTGTTCCCTCTCTCTCTGTGTCTCTCTCTCTGTCAAATAAATAAATAAAATGTTAAAAAAAAAAAAAAAAGAAACCTAATTCTTGGTGCTAGGTGTACTCATTGCTTCCAGGCCCTCTGAGCAGACAGAGTTAGGGATATATACATAGATACGTACGGTGTGTATACGTGTGAGCACACACACACATATCTCCATCTCTGTATCTTTCTCTCATTCTGTCTCATTGGAAGTCATGAGTTTACACTGATAGTTCCATTTCCCATCCACAGCATTCATTCTAGTTTTTTCTTTCCTTCTTTTTTTTTTTTTTAAATTTTATTTATTTATTTGACAGACAGAGATCACAAGTAGGCAGAGAGGCAGGCAGAGAGAGAGGAAGGGAAGCAGGTTCCCTACTGAGCAGGGAGCCCAATGAGGGGCTTGATCCCAGGACCCTGGGATCATGACCTGAGCCGAAGGCAGAGGCTTAACCCTCTGAGCCAGCCAGGTGCCCCTAGTTTTCTGTCTTTCTATATTTATAATTAACTTCTCTGGCAATGAAGAACCTGACTCCTTTTATCCTCTGTATATTTACTTACTTGAAAATCTTCTTTATGTACCTTTGGCTGCTGGAAGCTCTAGGCTTATCTTGTGTATTTCCTGACCCATAGGTAGAATCAGCCATTGTTCCAGGGAACCCTGGTTCCCTTTACTGGGGAATAGATTAGAAACCAAGATCTAGGTGCCCTCTGATCCCCTCTGTTTTTGGACATTGCTTGTGTTCACACTAATTTTTTGCCAGTCTTCTGTTTTCTTTTTTTTAAGGAGGAATAAATATTTTTCCTGTTTTTTTTTTTTCTATAGGAATAGTGAGAATTTAGCTACTTGAAATTTTAGAGGATTATATCACAAACTGGTTATTAATGTGCCTCAAACGCAATAAAAACAGTTATGATATTCCTTGATTCATTTTTGATCTGGGACCTCTCCATCTCAGCAAATTCATATGCAGGCAAATGTTCTTTACTTTTTTGTGCCATGGATTCCTTCCCAGTCTGATAAAGTTCATGGACCTTTAAAAAAAAAAGTTTTTAAATGTATAAAGTAAAATATATAGAATTACAAAGGAAATTAATTATATTGAAATATCATTATCAGAATATTAAGCAAATTTTTAATAAAGTAATATATATCAATATATTACATTATATTATAAGACCTAGTAGTGAATTTAATAACTGCGATAATTTTGAAGGAAAATTTTACACAAACTATATTTCAGGATATCTGCAATAGTTACTTTTTTTTTTTTTTAATTTATTTATTTGACAGACGGAGATCACAAGTAGGCAGAGAAGCAGGCAGAGAGAGAGGAGGAAGCAGGCTCCCCGCTGAGCAGAGAGCCTGATGCGGGGCTCGATCCCAGGACCCTGAGATCATGACCCGAGCCGAAGGCAGAGGCTTTAACCCACTGAGCCACCCAGGCGCCCCTAGTTACGACATTTTATGAAAATATTTGTGCCGTCTTGGAGACGTTTGTCGCAGGTGCTGCAAATGCAATGTGGCTTGTTGCCTATATTCATATTTGAAGGGAATGCTAAATTTCAACCAGAGAGTATTAGAAGTAAAGATGTAATTTTTTTCCTGTTCCGGTGTATGGACTAGGGAGCATCTGTGAAAACTCCAGATAAGAACTTCTGTACATGTAGGGACTCTTGGGTGCCTCAGTCAGTTAAACATCAGACTCTTGATTTCAGCCTGGGTCATGATCTCAGAGTCGTGGGCTTGAGCCCCGCATTGGGCTCCATGCTGGGTGTGGAGCCTACTTAAAAAAAGTTTAGAAAGGGGCACCTGGGTGGCTCAGTTGGTTAAGTATCTGCCTTTGGCTCAGGTCAGGATCCCAGGGTCCTGGGATCGAACCCCACATTAGGCTCCCTGCTCAGCAGGAAGCCTGCTTCTCCCTCTCCTGCTTCCCCCCACCTTGTGTTCCCTCTCTCGCTGCCTCTCTCTCTCTGTCAAAGAAATAAAATCTTTAAAAAAATTTTTTAGAAAGAACTACTGTACATGTAGAGGAGTTTGGCAGGGGTGCTTTTTAGTCCATTTACATTTGGGAAATACAATAGGAAGAATTGGATGTTTAAACTTTTTTTTTTTAAGATTTTATTTATTTATTTGACAGAGATAGACACAGCGAGAGGGGGAACCAGGAGCCCCAGAATTGGATGTTTAAATCAAAATCTTTGAAAAGACCAAAATAGTAATCTTTTAAAATGGGGTACCATATATGATTAAGATGTGAACTTCAAAGGAATATTAATACCTGTCATTTTCTATTATTGTGTTGAAAAGCAAATGATTTTTAGAATGCTTTTATATATTTATAGGTGTGAAAGTTATTTGAAATATAGACTTTGTTCAAATATAAGCCATATGATAGTAAAGACTTTGATGATAGGAAAAAAGATACAGCAAAGAAGAGATGTTTCTTCTTCTGTAAAATAGTAAAAGTTATTTCTTTCTTCTTGAATTTGTGTATATATACTATTTTTAAAAATATTTACTTTTTGAAATAATTAGGTAATCATGGCAGCCGATGAGGATAACAAAAAACAAGTTCTTAAGGAGCCTTTGTCAGATAAAGAATTTATGAAAGATGAACAAAGAGAGGTAAATATTACTATTAAAATTAATTTTTATCTATTAGTTTTGCAGTGAGGGATGTTTTAGATGTTTTTGCCCAACATTACTTTAAATTTGGGAAGATTTTAGAGTTTTCAAAATTTTTTTCTTCCATTATTCAAGCCTTGTGAAAACAATCATACTTCTGTTCTTTTTCTTACAACATTAGCTGTTTTTTCTTTCCCTCCATCCTTCCTTTGATTTGCACTCTGATGTTAAGAGCTTAGTTAGCAATTATCTGATCAGACCCAAGAGGAGATGGAGGCTCAGGTGGCTTAAGCCACTTACCCAGGGCCGTATGTCTGACATGTAAAGGGAGTTGTACTGCGGGAATCCAGCAAAAACATTTTTTAATTGCCCCCAAGTAACATATGTCCACAATTACAGTGCAATTTACTTCTTCATGTTTTAAAGATTTATTTATTTACTTTAGAGAAAGCACACGAACAAGCCTGAGCTTGTGGCGAGGAGGGGCAGAAGGAGAGGGAGAGAGAGTCATAAGCTGTCTCCACACTGAGCACAGAGTCCAACATTGAGGGCTCAGTCTCATGACCCTGAGACAATGACCTGGGTGGAAACCAAGTCAGATGCTTCCCTGACTGTGCCACCCAGATGTCCCTCTAGTGCAACTTGAAAGTCATATTGTTGTCACATAGCCAGGAAAGGAGTTGATAAGATTTAGGTCTGGCTCTCAATCCTTGCTCTACTAGAAAAATGTCTATGACTTTGGTCTAATGTGAAAGGTAGTTTCCCTGATTGTATAAAGGAGATAATAATACTTGTCAGAGGTAGGAGAATCTGCAGGTGATAGTGTGTTTTTTTGGCTTTTATCAGGGTGATAGAAAGTTAGCTTCTTTAATTCATTTAGAAAAATGAGGTCAGGGGCTGTTGAATTTTTTGATGTTGTTTGATTTTTTTTTTAGAGATTAATTGATGAAATTGTAAAGGAAAATACTCAGTTAAAGGAGGAGATCCAAAGGCTTGAAACTGAGTTACAAGAGGCCACCGGAAACTTCCAGGTACCTTTTTTTTTTTTTTTTTTTTTTCCAGGGGGACTTTTTTCAAATGTTATTTTTTTTTTTTTAAAACTTTTTTTTCAATTATTATTAACATATATTTTTTGTTTCAGGGGTACAGGTCTGTGATTCATCAGTCTTACACAATACATAGCGCTCACCATAGCACATGTCCTCCCAATGTCTGTCACCCAGCCACCTCATCCCTCCCCGCTCCCTCCACTCCAGCAATGCTCAGTTTGTTTCCTGAGATTAAGAGTCTCTTATGGTTTGTCTCCCTTTCTGGTTTCTTCTTGCTTCATTTTTCCTCTCTTTCCCTGTGATCCTCTGCCTTGTTTCTCAAATTTCTTACATTAGTGAGATCATATGATAAGTGTCTTTCTCTGATTGACTTATTTCACTTAGCATAATACCCTCTAGTTCCATCCACATCATTGCAAATGGCAAGATTTCATTTTTCTGAAGGCTGACTATTATTTCATTGTATATATGTATATATACCACATCTTCTCCATCCATTTATCTGTTGAACATCTGGGCTCTTTCCATAGTTTGGCTATTGTGGACATTGCTGCTATGAACATTAGGGTGCATGTCCCCCCTTCGGATCACTACATTTATATCTTTAGGGTAAATACCCAGTAGTGCAATTGTTGGGTCATAGGGTAGCTCTATTTTCAACTTTTTGAGCAACCTCCATACTGTTTCCCAGAGTGGCTACACCCGCTTGCATTCCCACCAACAGTGTAGGAGGGTTCCCCTTTCTCCGCATCCTCGCCAACATCTGTTGTTTCCTGACTTGTTAATTTTAGCCATTCTGACTGGTGTGAGGTGATATCTCATTGTGGTTTTGATTTGTATTTCCCTGAAGCCAAGTGATGTTGAGGCCTTTTTTATGTGTCTGTTAGCCATTTGGGTGTCTTTGCAGAAATGACTGTTTATATCTTCTGCCCATTTCTGATTAGATTATTTGTTTTTTGGGTGTTGAGTTTGGTAAGTTCTTTTTTTTTTTTTTTTTAAGATTTTATTTATCCATTTGACAGACAGAGATCACAAGCAGGCAGAGAGGCAGGCAGAGAGAGAGGAAGGGAAGCAGGCTCCCCGCTGAGCAGAGAGCCCAATGTGGGGCTCGATTCCAGGACCCTGGGATCACGGCCCGAGCCAAAGGCAGAGGCTTCAACCCACTGAGCCATCCCGGTGCCCCGAGTTTGGTAAGTTCTTTATAGCTTTTGGATACTAGCCCTTTATCTGATACGTCATTTGCAAATGTCTTCTCCCATTCTGTTGGTTGTCTTTTGGTTTTGTTGACTGTTTCCTTTGCTTTTTATCTTGATGAAGTCCCAGTAGTTCATTTTTGCCCTTGCTTCCCTTGCCTTTGGCTATGTTTCTGGGAAGAAATTGTTGCGGCTGAGATTAAAGAGGTTGCTGCTTGTGTTCTCCTCAAGGAATTTGATGGACTCCTATCTCACATTTAGGTCTTCCATCTATTTTGAGTCTATTTTTGTGTGTGGTATAAGAAAATGGTACAGTTTCATTCTGTATGTGACTGTCCAGTGTTCCCAACACCATTTGTTGAAGACACGTCTTTTTTCCTTTGGACCTTCCTTCCTGCTTTGTTGAAAATTAGTTGACCACAGAGTTGAGGGCCCATTTCTGAGTTCTCTATTCTCCCCCATTGATCTGTGTGCCTGTTTTTGTGCCATCTCAGGTACCTCTTTAATGATTAGCATTGGTGGTATAGTGGTGAGCATAGCTGCCTTCCAGATACCTCTTTAATGATTTTATGTATCACGTTTTTAACTGACACCATTTTTCAGAAAAACCAATTTTAGTTATACAAAATTCACTTTTAAAACATTGTGGTCATTGATGGCACCATTGTTTGTAATAGCCCCAAACTGAAAATAGCTCAACTGTCCCTCCGTAGTAGAATGAATTATTAATTTGGGGTGTATGCACGCAGTGGAATCCTGCACAGCAATGAGAATGAATGGACTACAACTACGTGCAGCCACATGCACAAATTTCATAAATACAATGTTGAGCCAGAAAAGATAAAAGAGGGCACACCATATACTTGCATTTAAATAAAGCACAAAAGGAGGATGTTAGCAGTTAGTATCCTGGTTACATTCGGAGGTACCAGGGAGCCCAAGGAGGCTTCTGGGGTGTTGGTCATGTTCTGATTATTGATCAGGGTTCTGGTCACATATGTGTGTGATCACTTCATAAAATTTCATCTGGCTGTGCATTTCTGATAATACACTTTTTTTTTTAAGGTTTTATTTATTCATTTGACAGATAGAGATCATAAGTAGGCAGAGAAGCAGGCATGGAGAGAGGAGGAAGCAGGCTCCCTGCTGAGCAGAGAGCTGGATGTGGGGCTTGATCCCAGGACCCTGGGATCATGACCTGAGCCGAAGGCAGAGGCCCTAACCCACTGAGCCACCCAGGCGCCCCTGATAATACACTTTTAAAATTTATGTATATATTTTTGTTTTTCTATGTATATATATGTTCGCTCAAAAACAAAAAAAAGATGATGGTCATGATCAGTCACTTTTGGATCAAATTCTTGTCTTCTCACTAAGTTCCTTTATTGTTCTTCTCATCCAAGTAATTTAAATGAATTTTACAGTTAAAAAAAAAAATTGGATGTATATCTTCACCGTTTAAATTCTCTCCTAAATTTTCCTGTACTTGAATTAGGCATTCACCCTTTTTTTCTTCATAGCAACTTGTATTTTTAAAAAAATATTTTATTTATTTATTCATGAGAGATAGAGAGAGCGACAGAAAGACAGAGGCAGAGGGAGAAGCAGACTCCCCCAGGAGCAGGGAGCCTGATGCAGGACTCGATCCTAGGACCCTGGGATGATGAACTGAGCTGAAGCCAGGTGCTTAACCGATTGAGCCACCCAGGCACCCAAGAACTCACACTGTTAAAAAAAAAAATCCTGTCTTTAGTTTTAATGCTTAGAACATTGTCACTTTTTGTTTCTGAAATGGGGGATAAGATACTGAATATCAGGAAGTGGGGTTCGCCATGTTTATGGGACTTAGCGAACACTTACAGTTCTGGTTACTTCTCAGACTGGAGAAGAATCACTTAATCCTACAACTCAAAGGGCCTTGGGAACGGAGCCAGCTCAGCTGATCCAATTTACAGAGGACTGAAACTGTGGTCTAGGGAGCATAGGTGAGTGGCTCCTGGCCAAGTGTGCCCAAGACCAGAATCAGGCACTCTAATTCCAGAAAGCTCTCGACTTTTCAGCATTTTATTGAGTACTTCCACAGTGTTGGGAAAATTTTTGCTTTTTCTCAGACACTGCCAATTATTTTGAAATTGGATTTATGCTGATGAGAAATTCTATGTAAGTTATCTGTGAAGATACAGAACAAATGTGAGAGTAGGTCAAATAACACTGAATATTTCTAACCCCTTTGTGATAACACAAACATTCTCTTTCAGCATATAAAATATGGGAAATAGAAATGCAAACAACAGATTCATTTGTGCATTTATGTATAATTGTATATGCCTGTTATTCCCAATGATTTTAAACAGATAACTACAACCATGTAAATTTATCTTTCAGATTACGAATTTTGCTGATAGTCTCCCTTCACATTTTTATAAATCTAAGTTTGATAATGGTTAAAAAGTTGATGGACAGGTGTTGGGTAAGGGGGAATTTAAATTTGATTAATGTTAAATCCTATAATTCAGGAGTCTTTGTTTTTGGATAAAATTATCTGGGTTTGCTATCAAAATAAACATGGTATATACTCAACTCTAGTTTATACTGCTTTGTAGTGAGAGTAAACGTACTGTCTAATGATTTCTTGGTAAGATAGCCTGTTATTGGTGCAGTTGTTTAAAAGGTGCTTATCTACAGGAATGATGTAGGCTTTAGAATCAAACACTATACAATATTGGCTAGTTTAAACATTGATTAGAAAAAGTGAGAGATTATGTATTTATAATTTAATCTGGGAAATGATATTAAAGGATCAGCATCTGATTACATTACTAAGTACTTACCTAGGAAGAAGTCATTACTAAGGTTATTAAATAAGACCGCACTGTATTTTGTGGGATTCTGAAATCAGTGGAGAATGAATTATTGGACGTTCAAATCACATTATCACAAGAAGGGCTTAAGTTATTTCTTGCCTTGATTTTAATCAAACATTTCTGTTTAAATTAGATTAAAGAGGATATTCCTGAAACAAAGGTGAAATTCGCATCGTTAGAGAATCCTGAGAATAACAGCCAGCTTTTAAATATCTCCTGTTCATTTCAAGTGAGCTCACAAGTTCTTTATGAGCTGCAGAAAGGACAAGCCCTTATCACCTTTGAAAAAGAAGAAGGTATGAGTAACGCTAAAAAATTTGACCACGTTACTTTTTGGAAAGCACAGAGACTTTCAAAGAGCTTTCTTAGATATTTGATCTATTGTTTTACAATTTTTATATCTATCATTTCATCTCATCTCATTGTGACATCTTGGGGCAGATATGATTATCCCGTTTTATGATGAGAAAACTGAGACATTAAGTGCCTTGAATGTGATCACTTGTTCATAATATGATGCCTCTGGGACTCAAGCCCAGGTATTGTTATGTCCAATACCATCTTTCTTTCTTTCTTTTTTTTTTTTTTAAGATTTTTATTTATTTATTTGACAGACATCACAAGTAGGCAGAGAGGCAGGCAGAGAGAGAGAGGAGGAAGCAGGCCCCCCACTGAGCAGAGAGCCCAATGCGGGGCCGATCCTAGGACCCTGGGATCATGACCCGGGCCGAAGGCAGAGGCTTTAACCCACTGAGCCACCCAGGCGCCCCCAATACCATCTTTCTACACCTGCTACCTCCAAGTGATGCTAGTAATAATGTTTTAAGCTAGCAGAGCTCTACTCAGGTCTCAGAGGGTTCTCACAGACATCTGTTTATATTCTCATGACTCTGTGAAAGCAATATGATAGGAGAATTATTATTTACATCTTGTAACTAAGAAAACAAATTCTTGGGTGTTTAAGTGACTTACCTAAGAGCACGTTACTGGTGAATGGAAAAAGCCCAAGAGTCAGAGATTTGGGAAAGGGACCTGATGTTAGCTGAATCTGCCATGATGTAGGACCCTGTTCAGAGCTGGGGGCACAATAGGACAGTCTGGCTTTCAGTGCCAACTTAGTCCATTTCTAGAGTGTGATTTGGGTTGGGTTCTTTCTGAATCTCAGATTTTTCTGACAGCCTTTGTGGTAGTACCTACCTCATGGGTTGGGTTGAGTATTAAATGAGAAATGCTGACATAATATTTAGCACAGTGTCTGACACATAATAAACACCTAGTAAATGAGAGCTGTCGTTGCTACTCATTAGGAATTTTCCAGATAAAGAAACTGAAACTTAAAGAAGACAAAGAACTTGCTCAAGGTCTATATAGTTTAAAAATTGCAAAACTGAGAGTCAAACCCATGAGTATCCATGTGCCTTGTACTAGACCAACAGTGCCTGGAGCAGGCCACTCTTCCAGGCCTTTGGTCTTCCGTTTGTCCAGTTATGGCGGGGGTGGTCAGATGGTCTTAAGCTTTTCCAGTGCTCAGATTCTGATAATCTAGGATTATAACTTGTATCTCCTTACACCTGGTATCTCACTATAGCCTGCAAATAAATACTAAAAAGAAAGGCATTCTAGTAGGTCAGCATGTGAACATACAGTTGGTTCACCTGTATGGGTCCACCCTGGATCTACCCTTGAGCTGAGGGCAGAGGAGGAGGCCAAGGGCGCTGTGTTGTCAGTTGGCAATGGTAATGGGGATATAACCAAAAGACAGAAGCGAGGATTTGGGAGGCAGGGATTCTGTGCAGGAATTACCCGGGAATGCTGGAACCAGGGTTGTCTTCAGAAACAGCTCTATCGCTGCTTCCATTCTGGGCACGGCTCTCAGGTCTTGCTCTCCTGGGACAACTTTGGGCTTGTACACAATTAAACAGGAGTTGGCCTTTGATAGAGTTACAAAAGTTGAAACGCAAGTGGTCCTCTCAGCTGCGTCAGATAACCAGATGTTGGAGGGGTTTGGGTGGGGGGTGTGGGAGTGAAAGGGCATCATCTAAGTATTACTTCATTGACATTTTCTGTTATTGTTGCCTGTTGTCATTAACAAAAAAAAATTGTAATTCAAGTCATATCATGGTACAATGAGTGCGAATTCCCACATGACAACGCCCTGCCTTTTAGCCTATTTCTCTCTTCCTTCAGCTGTGATGTGTGTGCTGTCTGGTTGTCATAAACACATGTGAGATTTATAAGACCGGGAGTGGGCATCTCTTATCGTCATGACAAATTAGAGTAAGCAGCTCTGTATTAACAACTGAAGTGTTATAAACTCTCATGTCACACAATTAAAAATAAATGCACACCCACATGCATTTTAAACTGAAATACAGTTGCTATCTGGAGTTCTAATGATTTTTGGCGTAATTACATTACTGAGCCTCTCCCATTTGCACAAATAAATTGGATTTGATAGTTTTGTGATTGGTATAGGTATCATTTTAGTAAAGTGATTTCAAGAGCATTTTAGTAAAAGTAGAAGTCCTCATTAAATATAGCAAAAACATAGAAAAGACTCACACTTTGAGAAGATGACAAATGATAAATAAGATTGTCAGAATGCCACTGACCCACACAACTTTTTCCTACTTACTCAACATGGAAGAAGTTTCTGGCTGTGCTTTAATTAATGTACTAAGGGAATTCTGTCATCATTCTGTCAACAGGGGAATTCTAGAGGGTGTGTGCTGTGCTGAAATAATACATGAATTTGAAGGCTCACCAGGCTTATCTCTTAGGAAATGAGTCTAGAACTTGATGACGCTTTCTCATTATAGCTTTTTTTGCAGTTTTCCTGAGAAATAATTGATGCATATCACTAAGCTTAAGGTGTATGACCTGATGGTTTGATTAATGTATATTGTGAAACAGTGACCCAGCAGGTGCAGCCAACATCCATCTTCTCATACAGGTGCAATAAACAGAATTCCCATAAATTCAACAAAAAAGGAAAAAAAAGGAAAAAACTTTTTTTGCTTGTAATGAGAACACTTAGGATCTACTCTCTTAACAGTTTTCCTATATACCACACAGCATGTTGTACGTTACATCCCTGGTACTTTTTCATCTTATAACTAGAAGTTTGTACCTTTTGACTACTTTGTAATTACTGATGTGTTTTGACATTCCGACATTAATATATTTATTTGCCACTTTGGCGGCAAGACCAATAACACTTGGAAGTCCTAGGAAAATTTTAAAAATTAGATCCTTTAACATGAAAGGAAAGTTAAAATTTTTAGGATAATTTGTTCTTAAACTGAAAACGAAAACGTTTATTCAAGTATTGGCAGTTCATACTCCCAAATAACTTTTCAGTTGCCCAGAACATCATCAGGATGGGGAAGCATCATGTGAAGATAGAAGATGTAGAAGTGGAGGTTTTGGCCAAGCCAGTTCCATTAAATTCAGGAGTCAGATTCCAGGTAACATGGTGTTTATTGCCTTCGAGATTTCTATCAGGTGTGAACACTTTTCTCACCCCTGTTGCTGAGTGTGGAATGATTTCCCAGGTTCATGAAGCGTACTCTAAGGTGAAGATCAACGTTACTGAAATTCCTGACGGATTGCCTGAAGATCAGATGAGAGACAAGCTAGAACTAAGCTTTTCTAAGTCCAGAAACGGAGGCGGGGAAGTGCTCCGCGTGCAGTACGATAAGCCGTCCCGCAGTGCTGTGATCACGTTCACGGAACCTGGAGGTATTCGCCCAGTTAGGCAGTTACAGAGTGCTTTACCATTTAAATTATGTTCTGCTGTTTCTTTTCTTTTTTTTTTTTAGATTTTAAAAATTTATTTGACACAGAGAGAACAAGAGTGTGCACAAGCAGGGGGAGTGGGAGAGGGAGAAGTGGGCTTCCCATGAGCAGGAAGCCTAATTCAGGGCTCGATCGCATGACCCCGAGATCATGACCTGAGCCGAAGGCAGATGCTTAACCCACTGAGCCACCCAGGCTCCCCTCTTTCTTTTCTTTTCTTTTTCTTTTTTTTTTTTTTAAGATTTATTCATTTATTTTCAAGAGTGAGAGTGAGTGAGCTGGAGAGGGGCAGGGGAAGAGGGATAGATACTCTTTTTTTTTTTTTTTTTAAGGGTTTTATTTATTTATTTGACAGAGAGATCACAAGTAGGCAGAGCAGCAGGCAGAGAGAGAGAGAGAGAAGCAGGCTCCCCACCGAGCAGAGAGCCCGATGCGGGGCTCGATCCCAGGACCTTGAGATCACGACCTGAGCCAAAGGCAGAGACTTAACCCACTGAGCCACCCACGCACCCCGGGGATAGACTCTTAAGCAGACTCCATGCTGAGCCAGTTGTGGGCCCAGTCTCAGGATCCTGAGATCAGAACCTGAGCAGAAGCCAGGAATGGGATGCTTAACCAAGTGTATCACCCAGGCACCCTTATGAACTGCCATTCCTAAAAGTGTTCCTTTTCTACTTCTTTTATTTGGAACTTATTAGATAGCATAATGAGAGGGGATTTTTTTAACCTTATAAAATGGTAGAGTACTGAAAATGATTTCTGGGAATGCTCTTGAGAAATATTACGTATAACAAGCACATCAGTCTTTCTGCATCCTCATCACAGGCCAGCCAAGGAGCCAGGTGTTCAGAAGTGTATCTCCTCTGATCTGCAGCACGATTCTGGAGATAGACGTTATACTCATTCTATTGAGGTGGAAACTGAGTCCTTGGGAGGGCAAATGACTTACCCCAAGTTACAGTGGGTATGTGGCAGAGAAATCTAAAAATACATATGTCTAAGACTGTCACTTCCATCCCACCTGTTTTGACAGATGAGGGTCTCTTAGGTGGAGGGAATAGATTCCAGGAAGACAAAGGGTGATTGGAAAGAACAGTTAGACATCTGCTCCCTTTATAGATAGAAATGGATCTTTACCAAATCATCAGAGGAGGGTTTACATTCTTATGATTAAAAATGTAGAATTCTACAGCTGCTTTTGTTAATATGTTCAAGTGATTCTCCATGTAAAAATATCTTGCTCGGGCGCCTGTGTGGCTCAGTGGGTTAAGCCTCTGCCTTCGGCTGAGGTCATGATCTCAGGGTCCTGGGATCGGGCCCTGTATCAGGCTCCCTGCTTGGCGGGGATCCTGCTCCCTCCCCGCCCCGCCCGCCTGCCTCTCTGCTTACTTGTGATCCCTGTCTGTCAAATAAATAAATAAAATATTTTAAAAAATTTAAAAAAAAATCCTGCTCTAGTTAATTCAGTTTGTGGGGTTTCCCCTGGGTCTGCACATATAATAGAAATCCAGTTATACAACTGAAAAGCATTGACTGTTTTTTCATAACGGAGTAATACATTCTTTTCAAAGAAGACTGAAATAAAAAAGAAGAGCATTAATTTAGCATAAGTGGAGACATTTCATTAAACTTCCCTTTCTTCTACTATGTAGTTAGATATGGTTAGTTGAATGTCTTTCTAGATTTTTCTGGAATTGCTGGATCATGTGGTGATTTTGTGTTTAGTGTTTTGAGGAATGGCCATACCGTTTTGCACAGCGCTGTACCATTTTATACTCCCACCAGCAATGTCCCAGGGTTTCAGTTTCTCCACATCCTCACTGATAGGGACCTGTCCTGTTAATCACTGCACCATATTGCTCCTTCTAAATGGACTGGAGAGAGAGGAAAAACAGTGATAGGATATTCCTAAGAACTGTTTCTGTTCAACTTTATGCAATCGGAGACATTATTATCTTTTTCCCCTCTAGGAGAAAAATGCTGCTAAAAAGAAATCTGATTATTCTTTGTGTTAGAGGAACCTGATGAATTTCTGTTATTTGCCTTCATTTCTAGATGACATTCAGATCCCTCCTCTCTTTGGTTAACATCATTATGTCAGTTTACTGAATAATATCATGTATTAGTTACAGGATAACTAAGTGATTTTATGTATGAAATATATATTATAGTAACACAGTAATTTATTATATAAGTCTATATTATAAAAATGTATATGTATAGTATTCTTTTTTTTTTTTTTAAGATTTTATTTATTTATTTGTCAGCGAGACAGAGTGAGCACAGGAGCAGGGGGAGTGGTTAGAGGTAGTGGTTAGGGGAGTGGTTAGAGGTAGAAGCGGGCTCTCCGCTGAGCAAGAAGCCCATTGCCTGATACGGGACTCGATCCCAGGACCCTGGGATCATGACCTGAGCCAAAGACAGACACTTAACTGACTGAGCCACCCAGGTGTACCTATATGTATAGAATTCTAATCATAACTTCAGTTATACTTCTTGAGAAACTGGGAAACTCGCTGTCTTGTTAGGATGGGCAGGTTACTTTTTGCAGATGATTATTGCATTTTATGTAGCTCAAGATAGATCTGTCTGAGGTCATACAGCTCTCTGCATTGACTGCAGTGGATAGTTCAAGACAGAAGGATCTATTAAGCCCCATTCTTATCTGGTCTTGTATTTTTCAAAATTATATACTGTGAAGTAGATTGCAGAATTTTCAAAAACATAACCACTCAGTTCACTGTTTACTGTAATGTTCTGTTTGAAGAAAGTTTTAACTTTGAATAAAAATGTCTATGATATAAAGAAGAAAATAATTTTTTAAAAATTTACTTCTAGTTGCTGACAAGATTTTGAAAAAGAAAGACTATCCGCTTTATATAAATCAAAACTGCTATAGAGTTACTGTTTCTCCATACACAGAAACACACTTGAAAAATTTTCAGGTAAAGTCATCTCTTTTCTTTCATTTTGGGGATTTATGACTAAACCCTACCTCACAAAAAATAAGGGAAAAGGTGTGAGTCTCTTACTGTTTCATCTTTAGTGAGCAATGTCAAAATAGTTTCTTCATATCCGCTTGGTGCAAAATAAGTTTGTCTTTTAAAAAAACATTTTAATGCAAAACTGTACCTCATTTAATTTCTTACATACTTTTTAAAACTTGGAATTACTCAGATAATGGTATAATATTTTTGTTTGTGGAGACATAGCTGTATTTCTCTCATGTGTCCACTATCCTTAAGAATAATTCTTCCAGGAAGCCTGCTTCTCCCTCTCCCTCTCCCTTTTCCCCCTGCTCATGTTCCCTCTCTCGCTGTCTCTCTGTCAAATAAATAAATAAAATCTTTAAAAAATATAAAAATAATTCTTCCTACTCATTTTCTCTGAACTGATTGTCTTTACCCTCAACCTATTCCTTTTTTCTGTTCCTACTTAGGTATTAAATGACACCCCCATCTACCTGGTTCACTGTCCTGAAAGCTACAACTCATGCTGAATTCTTCATTTTGCTTTATCTCTCACATTCGTTTGGTCACTGGCATCTCTGACTACCTCTTTCATGGTCTTTCTGTCCATAGAGATGCCCGTCTTTCCTCTATTCATCATAATGCCACCAGCGTTACCTTTCTGAAATTCAGATCTGACTTGGATATGCTCTTGCATGAAACAGCTTACTGAGGCTCCTGGTCTCTTCTAAGATAAGGTCCAAAATACGCAGCAGAGCTCTATAAATCTAAAGTTCTACAATTCGAAGCTCTCAGAAAATTTTCTCTTTATCTTTTTAATTTTCCTTTTCAGGTGTTTTCAGGAATATCGGAGAGGACAGTGCTTCTGACTGGGCTGGAAGAACTTCAGATGACGGATATAGAACTTTTAGAGGATTTAGTTAGCATTCATTTCCAACGGGAGATGAACGGAGGTGGAGAGGTGGAAGTGGTCAAATGTTCTCTAGGTCAACCTTGCATCGCATACTTTGAGGAAGAGAGGAATGGAATGATCTGAATATTATTAGAGCCTGTGAGCCCAAATCACTGTCAGTATGTGACAAAAATGGATATCCCTTTTCCTTTAAAGAATGAAGTCTTTTAATTCTTTAGTGGCCATTTATTCTTAGATACAAAATATCATGTTTCTGAATTCTTCTTTGTTTCAAACCCTGTTGCATGCTTACCAATGCAGTAAGTGCACTATATTAAAAAGTTTTGTTTGTTCATAAATTATCTGGATTGGTGCAATGTCCGTTGAAATCAACCATAAGTGATGCAATTGTCCCCCTGCTGTGTTGGCTCATTTTGTAATGAGCATGTGGGCCAATTGTCTTTTGGCCCCAAGTCCACCAATATGCAGACTTGACTCTTAACATCTCCTGAAAGAAACGTTACATTCAACTGTTTGTGATTTCCATAGACTTGGACTTTCAAGGGACTTCAAGAGCAATGATTTCCCACTTTCCCGTTATATAGCATCTTCCCCCACAGGCCCAGATGTATTTTTCAGAGCTGAGTGTGGTCTTTCTTTCTTTCTTTTTTTTTTTTTCCTCCAAGATTTTATTTATTTATTTGACAGAGAAAGATCACAAGTAGGCAGAGAGGCAGGCAGAGAGTCAGAGAGAAGCAGGCTCCCTGCGGAGCAAAGAGTCCTATGCGGGGCTTGATCCCAGGACCCTGAGACCACGACCTGAGCCAAAGGTAGCCCGCTAAATGCACTGAGCCACCCAGGCGCCCCGAGTGTGGTCTTTCTACTTAAAATTTTCTTCGCCCAGAGTGCCAAGTGTCCCCTGATTCTTTCCAAAACATCTTCTCCAAATAGAACTTGTAAAGACCATAATTTTCATTCATTTACACTTAAGATGGAAAAAGTAAGTTTAATGGAATGACACGATTGGAATAAAGGGAGAAGTAAATGCAAAGCTAGAGGTTCATCACTCATCAGCCTAGATTTCAATCTGAAGACGAAAGCAGAGGCCCTGTGCTGTAGGGACTTACATTTTAGTTTGAGAGCCTCCCAGTTCATTAACATCCCACTGTTTGTAAGTTGTAGAAACTAAACTGTATGATGCGAGGTTCCTATTCAGAGAAGGTGAAATTCTCTTTGGTAAAGAACATTGGAACAGCTTTTATCCTAATACGGTGTGTTCCATAACGAGCCAAGAGCAGAAGGAAATTCATATTAAAGTGCTGGCAGAAATGAAATGCTTTAGAAAAGATTCTAAACCTCAATGTACCCAATGCTGCCCGCCATCTAAAATAAAGGGAACGTTAAAAAAAAGAAAAAAGCTTGGTTTGCTTTTGATATTTTATTTTTAGGTTTTAAAGTTGTTATGCTACCATTAGAAGTACTCATTGCTTTCACGTGTCTCTTTAGAACGAGACATGGTACCTGGAAATTGGGCAGCGTGCACTCTTCATAGTCACTATTTTATTTTATTTTATTTATTTTTTTTTAAATATTTTTTTTTATTTTTATTTATTTGGCAGACAGAGATCACAAGTAGGCAGAGAGAGAGAGAGAGGAGGAAGCAGGCTTCCCGCTGAGCAGAGAGCCCGATGCGGGGCTCAATCCCAGGACCCTGGGATCATGACCTGAGCCGAAGGCAGAGGCTTTAACCCACTGAGCCACCCAGGCGCCCCCATAGTCACTATTTTAGGGGGAAAAAAAATCTCTCATGTGTCAGTTGTTCTTTGGAAATAGTAAAATTATTTCAGAATATTAAGAAATATTAAGGAAAATTGAAAGAACTTATTTAATTTTGATTGATACAGTCTCATTGGCATAAAAGGTATCATTTTGAGTCTGTGGCAGGCTGCCAGTCAGTAAGAATTTTTTCCTAATATTTAGAATGAGGTTTGAAATAGTCACTTTTGTTGCCTTTGGAAGCTTCTTCAGGCAGTAGAACAGATAATTTAATTCAATTCCAAATATTCACAATGTTTTTTTTTTTTTTTTTAGATTTTTAAAAAAAATTTATTTATTTGACAGAGATCACAAGTAGGCAGAGAGGCAGGCAGAGAAAGAGGGGGAAGCAGGCTCCTTGCTGAGCAGAGAGCCTGATGTGGGGCTTGATCCCAGGACCCTGGGATCATGACCTGAGCCAAAGGCAGAGGCTTAACCCACTGAGCCACCCAGGTGCCCCTTCATAATGGTTTTTAATAAATATTTCTTCTTGTAGAAAATTAGACTTTTCCTTTAGGCTCCTTTCACCATTCCACCCTTGTGTGATCTGACTAGATTTCAGAAATCAAGCATTGGCTTTCCTGCTTATTTCTAGAGTTTTAGAGATTTTATAGAAGTAAAGTTTGTCTTTGAAAATTTACCAAAAGAGGGACGCCTGGGTGGCTGAGTGGGTTAAAGCCTCTTCCTTCAGCTCAGGTCTCAGGGTGCTGGGATCGAGCCCCACATCGAGCCCCACATCGAGCCCCACATCGAGCCCCACATCGAGCTCTCTGCTCAGCAGGGAACCTGCTTCCCCCTCTCTCTCTGCCTGCCTCTTTGTCTACTTGTGATCTCTGTCTGTCAAATAAATTTAAAAAAAAGGAAAAAGAAAAGAAAATTTACCAAAAGATACTATGTGACTATTGATTGGATATTAAGTCAGGAAACCTTAAATTGTGTGTTTTGGATGAGATAGCTCCACTTATTTTGTGAAAAGACATTTGTCAACATCAACATATAAGTCAGAAAGAAGATTATGTGGAATCGCAAGTCCCTCTAGCCTCTGGTGGATTTATCAGTGGAGATGGCCTAGGTTAGGCTGTAATGACAAGGTCCCGAAGCTCAGGGGCCTCACAAAACATAAGTTTAATTCTCATTCATGTTGAATGTGCAACACAGGTTGGTAGGGGAGTCTTTTTGTCCTCATCACTTAAGGCCCCATCTTGACACACACTTCCAGAACCATGGAGGTGGGGAAACATGAAGTCTGCAGAATCTTGCACCAGGAATTAAATATGTAATTTAGAAGTGACCATGTCTTTTGTCTCACATCTCATTGGCCAGCAATAGTCATCTGACCTCACTGGAAAAAGAGGAACTGAAAGACTCCTTCTTGTGAAAATGAGAACCAGATATAGTTGAGCCAGAATATTAAGGAATGCAGTCTTTCTTGTCCTACTGATCCTTAATATCTGGATCACTCTCCTTCATACACAAAGCACACTCCTACTCACCCATACCCCAGTGAGGAAAACCAAAAGTTCCTTTAAGTCATGATATCAAACTCCAAGTGCATGAACCCTAGGTGGTATGTGGTAGTTTCTATATCAAGTCTGAACATTACTTCTCTTTATCCAGAGACCCCACCCCGTGGTAGAGACTAGTGGAAATGGAACAAGAGAACTGCAACAAACTCTCAAATTTGGAAAAGGGGACGATTAGGGGAACATGTAGTGGTCTCTGGGCCGAAGCCATCTTGAAATCTCGCTGAGTAGATATATGCTTCATATACCTTGAGTGTGGAATTTTGATCAGGCCATGGTTCTACTCTGGAAATTCTCCTCTTGCTTATTGACCTTATAGCTTCTGGGCATTCTTCTTTCTCCATTGTTCTCCTTTTTCATATCTGAAACATAACTTTCTTGGAAGCTGAAAAGCTTATTCATTCAGTACACTATCTATGACCAATGTTTGGGACCAAAATTTTTAAAGTTTTGAACCATCAGTCTCTTTACTTCGGCTGGTAGCTAGTTAGGTGTTACATTTCAAAAACTTAATAGGCTTTGGGGTGCCTGGGTGGCTCAGGTGGTAAAGCGTATGCCTTTGGCTCAGGTCATGATCTCAGGGCCCTGGGATTAAGCCCCGAGGTGGACTCCCTGCTCCGCAGGGAGCCTGCTTCTCCCTCTGCCTGTCAGTCCCCCTGCTTGGGCTCTCTCTATGTCAAATAAATAAATAAAATCTTAAAAAAAAAAAACCCAAAATATAATAGGTTTCTAATCTATTTTTTTTTAATTTTAAAAAGATTTTATTTATTTATTTGACAAAGCGAGAGAGACCACAAGTAGGCAGAGAGGCAGGCAGAGAGGGAGAAGCAGGCTCCCTGCCAAGTAGAGAGGCCGATGTGGGGCTAGATCCCAGGACCCTGAGATCATGACCTGAGCCGAAGGCAGAGGCTTAATGCATCGAGCCCCCCAGGCACCCCAGGTTTCTAATCTATTTTATTTTGGTCAGCTTATATGTGCTAATAGCCACACTGACATTTTTTTCTAGACTCACAGTTTATTATTTTTTTTTAGATTATTATTATTTTTTTATTGTGTTATGTTAGTTACCATACTAGACTCACGTTTTAAGAGTTGCTATAATTCTCTGCTTTCTTGGTCCTATTCTTCTCTCTGTCTCTTTACTTAATTGTAGGTACTTTGGTCTATCAGACCACTTGCAGTTTCTGTTGCCTGAGCCAGTTTGTCTAGCTGAAATGGTTTACTGAATTCAGCAGCCTTCAATTGTTTTTGTTGTTGTTGTTGTTCTGAGGGACTTTAATCTGTTCAGAGATCCAAAGCTTGATTATTGATTTGATCTTTGCAATAAAGTGGAGTTCTAATCAGCCTTTGTTACTCAAAGGTTTTATCATTTGAGAATAGATGTATTGTTTCTTCCATCCTACATGTTCCCATATTTCCAGATTTCTCTATTCCCTTTCATTCTGGCCGATTCTTTTCTAAGCTCTTTTCTTTTTTATATTACGTTGTCAAATGCACTCAATAGTAACAGACATATGCTACTAATATTGCTTTTTCACACCCTTTTAAAAAAAACTACAAGCTAATTAGGTACATAATCTGCCTTCCAAGCTATCACATGTGACAGCTTTACCAAATGTTTTTCCACTACATAATATGAATCGCCAACCTTCTAATCTCTGATAATTATTTTCTAATTACCTGCCCCTCAACCAAAGCCATATATTTTGATTGTGTTGTGGATTGTCTTTTTTTTTTTCTTTTGAGTATAGCAATGCTCCAGAATACCAATTGTATATCAATCAGGATAAATTATATGATACCGATGTGGCAAATTATGTCTTAATTTCAGAGACCAGAACAAAATTTTACTCCTTGGTCCATGATGGGTCAACAAAAAGAATGCTCAGGGTAGACATTCACAGGGACATAACAGCAACCACAAACTTTTTTTTTTTTTTTTAAGACTTATTTATTGGGGCGCCTGGGTGGCTCAGTGGGTTAAAGCCTCTGCCTTCAGCTCAGGTCATGATCCCAGGGTCCTGGGATTGAGCCCCACATGGGGCTCTCTGCTCAGCAGGGAGCCTGCTTCCTCCTCTCTCTCTGCCTGCCTCTCTGCCTACTTGTAATCTCTGTCAAATAAATAAATAAAATCTTAAAAAAAAAAAAAAGAAATGAGAAGGTTTAGGAAAAAAAAAAAAAGACTTATTTATTTATTTCAGAGAGAGAGAAAGACAGCAGGAGTGGGAGGGGCAGAGGGAGAGAGAGTCCCAAGTAGACTCCCTGCTCAGCACAGAGTCCGATTCAAGACTCCATCTCATGACAATGAGATCACAACCTGAGCGGAAATGTG